CCATTGTGTGAATGTACCAAAGTTTGGTTATCCATTCCTCAGTTGTTGGACATCTAGGTTGTTTCCAAGTTTTGGCTATTGTAAATAGTGCTGCGGTAACATCACATTCTTGACTTGATACTTTCTTATTTGGGCTAGTTTGGTAGGCATGGTTTTAATTTGCATATCCCTGGTTTCCTGGTGACTTAATGATGTAGAATACCTTTTCATGTTTATGGCTCTTTGGATAACCTCATTTGTTATGTGACATGTCAAGACTTTGTCCATTTTTCTTTTGGATGTCAGTCTTGTTCTTACCTGATTTGTAGGAGTCGTCTACATATTGGAGGTGTACGTCTTTTGTTAGATATGTTATATGAGTATTTTTCCCATTCTGTGGGTTGCCTTTCACTCTTAATGCTATCTTTTGATGAACCAAAGGTCTTAAAAAAATGACATTTTATCATTTTTCTTTTTTGTTTAGTACATCTTATGTCTTCATTAAAAGGTATTTACCTACTCCAGGGCTTTGAAAATATTTAATCTATATATTTCTCCAAATCCTTATTATTTTACATTTAGACATGCAATCCATCTGGAATTGGTTTTATTATAAGGTATAAAACAAGGATCAAGATTCATTTTTTTCCCTATTTGGATGTCCAGTTGACCTGTTGTTGTTGTTGTTGTCATGTGCCATTGAGTCAGACCCGACTCATAGCGACCCCTTCTTGGGTTTCCGAGGCGGTATCAGTACGGAAGTTGATTGCCCAGCCTTCCTTCTGAGGAGTGGCTGGTGGATTTGAACCACCAGCCTTCTGGTTAGCAGTCAAGTGCTTTAGGCACTACGCTACCAGAGCTCCTCCAGTTGACCTAGTATTTTTTATTGAAAAGAACATCCTTTCCCTATTACACTGCTATGTTACTTTGTCACAAGCCAGGTGACTATATATGGAGTGGGTCTGTTTGTAGACTGTTTTTCATTGGTAAGTTTATCCTTTTAGTTATACCATACATTCCTCATTAATAAAGCCTAATAATACACCCAGGAGCTCTGGTAACATAGTGCCTAGGGCATTTGACTGCTTACCAGAAGGTTGGTGGTTCAAATCCACCAGCCACTCCTCGGAAGGAAGGTGGGCAATCTACTTCCGTAGTGATATTGCTTCAGAAACCCAAGGAGGGGTCGCTATGAGTTGGGTCCGACTCCACAGCACATAACAATAAAAGCACGCCCACTTCTCACTTACTGACATGGTCAGGTTCCAAAGACTGGTCATTATGCAGAAATCGGCATTATGTGAAAATGGAGGTTGAACATATTGGATCACAAAATGGAGGATGACTACATCATACAGCTGCCAAATTTCATCATAATTGCCAAGCTACTGAGAATCATGGCCCGGCTAAACTGACATGTAACCTTAACCATCACAGTCAGCCTTATTCTCACCTTGAATCTCTGCATTCGTTACTCCCCGATGTACCTTGTTATGTGCAAAATAGTCAGTAGATTTTTCACTGTTGTTGTAGATGTGAAATGTCAAACAATGAGAGTGTGTGAGTGAGTAGTAGGTGTAACAGATCTTAGTAGCTAGTAATGTAATTTCTTTAGTTTTGATCCTCAAAATGGCTTTGTCTATTCTTGGCACATCCCTGTAAATTTTAAAATAAGCTTGTTAATTTCTACAAGAAAATCTGCAGGGATTTTACATTGACTCTAAAGATCAAATTGATGAAAATTGACATCTTGGTAATACTGAGACCTAATATGCAGCTGTAGTCATTAAGGCAAAGTATTATTTATGCAGGTGCAGTGTAGTAAGTTACATAATAAGGCTTTTCTAGCCAGTCTTTGTAAACTCTGTGGTGGTATTTGCCATGAGCAACTGAGTAGTTGCTGATTGTTAAAATTATCCACTCGAGGTATTTCTGTTACAAGTGGCAGGAAGTAATCTTCTGGGAAGTTTGCTGTCTCAGGTGTATTAAATTCTGATGTTGGGATTGGTTAGTTTGGCCCCTCTGCCAGGTTCAAAAGAAGCCCTCCTAGAAGCAGAAGGAGTCTCTTTGACTGCCAGCTGAGAAAGACGTGCTGCTGAGAGAGAGAGATACAAGAGACATGCACTGCCGAGAGAGAGAGGTGCTACAGAGACTGCCAGCTGCTAAGAGAGATGGCCGGATGCGAGAGACTGATGAGCGTGTTCCTGAACTTGAATTGTAGCCTGTTGATTCCCTAATAAGGAGCTCTGGTGGCATAGTGTCTAAGGCATTTGACTGCTAACCAGAAGGCTGGCAATTCAAACCCACCAGCCACTCCCTGCAAGGAAGGTGGGGCAATCTACTTCTGTAGAGATACAGCCTTGGAAACACAAGGAGGGGTCACTATGAATTGGGACCAACTAAACAGCAGTGAGTTTGGGTTTTTTGGCTTCCCTGATAAACCCCATAATCTGTGAGTTCTGTGTAGCCACTGCAGCGAATTATCGAACCCAGCAGAGAGGTGGTGGTTGTCCGTGGGAGAAACAGTTGGTGTCAAGGTTAGTAAAAGGTCTAAAGGGTGGTGGCATGTCTAGTCTAATAGGAGCAGGCCTTGGGCTGCTGATGGGGATACTGTCTTCCTCTTGTGGGGTTAGAGGAGGTCAGAAGATATTGCCTCCCTGTCCCGTTTACAGCAGGTATAGATAAATAGCCCAGTGGAACAGATTAGAGAGTCTAATGCCAAGATTATCAGTGAGCATGTTTTAGCTGACCAGTCCTTTAGAGTATGCGTTAGTGTAGTCTCTGGTGTTATCTTACCAAGTGTCTGTTTTACCTTTCTCACAGGTGTGGACCATGTTTAAGGATTGCTCCAGCATTCAGTTCCATGAGTAATAAATATCCACAAGCAGTTTTCTTAGAGGTAGATGTACATCAGTGCCAGGTAAGCTTTGAAAAGTCTTTTTTTTTTTTTTTTTTTAATGAATCAGATTGAAATTCAGCGTTAATATCGTTTATCTCCTTATGCACAGGGCACTTAGTTTTTGAAGATCAGTTGGCACTGTTATTATAAATGTCATTGTGGCTACTTTAGTTTAAAAGGGTATTTCTATAGTTCACTATCACTTACTTCAGGCTTGTTTGTATTAATACCCTTATGATAGAAAACTAAGTGATGTTATATAATAGGTAACCTGACAATTCTGTTTTATATTTCTTTGTTTATCTTTTACAAATATTGAGTTATATCTTCTACTTGGGCATTGGCAGAGAATTCTTGACCATAGTCTGGTTTGAACTGATCAGTTTGTGGTCTTGTCTTCAAAGCAGCATTTCAGCAGAAACTTTACCATGTTGATTTACTGTAACTGAGCTGCAGTGTCCTACGGACATCACCCTTGATTATATAATAGTGACAACTTTGTATTTGCATGTATAGAAATATAGAGTAGTTATTATGGAAAAAAAATTTTTTTTGGAAGATTTTTTCCAAAAATAAAGTCCTTAGTTCTGACTAAAGAACTGCTCTATAGCTCCCTCTGCCCCTTCTTTTTGGTGAGGTTATGTGTTAGTTATGAGCTCTGGTAGGATAGTGCCTAAGGCATTTGACTGCTAACCAGAGGGCTGACGGTTCAAACCCACCAGCCACTCCTCAGAAGGAAGGTGAGGCAATCTACTTCCGTAGTGATACTGCCTTGGAAACCCAAGGAGGGGTTGCTATGAGCTGAGTCTGACTCGACGGCACATAACAACAACAACAACATGTGTTAGTTATGTTTCTGAATGTAGGAAGAGAAAATATTAAATAGTTTGTAGCTGGTAGTTTGGGGATTTGGAATAAAACCTACATTATACATTTACTGTTAAGTACTTAGGTCATATATCAAACTGCATCACCGTCTTTCACTGGACAGTGCTGTCTCTACAGCTCCGTTGTCCAGTTTGGTAGCCACTAGCTCCTTGTGGTTATGAGCTCTTCAGATGCAGCAAACCCAGGTTGGAATTGTGTAAAATGCACGTCGGATTTTGAAGACTTGGTGTGAAGGAATAAATGTAAAATATTAAATTTTATGTTGCTTATGCATTAAAATGATTATATTTTGAATATATTAACTAAAATATATTATTAAAATGAATTTCACTTTTCCTTCTTTCCTTTTACTTTTTATTATTTGTACTAGAAAATTTAAAATGACTTATGTAGTTCTCATGGTTCTCACATTATAGTTCTGGGAAATAGCACTGCTGGAGAGGGCCAGTCCTGGTTGTTTCACTTATGAGGTTCCTTAGAAAAGACAATCCTACATGGTCTTTATGCTTTTTCGTTAAACAGTATAGAACCTTTTCATAGTATCTGAATATGCCAAGGTACACGTTTACTTTACCATTTCCTTTATAATTGTTATGAAAAGATTAAACCATGATACCCAGTGTTTATTAAGCTAATTTCCATTCAGTAATTAATCTTACAAAATTCTGGTGCTAGGGCAGATTTTTTTTTTTTTTTTTAATTGTGATGTGGGTAAAAATTACAGAGCAAATTCACTTTCTATACAGCAGTTCACATACACTTTGTCTCATGGCGCTGACCACAATGCAACAGCTCCCCTCCCACTTCCTTCCGACAGTCACCTCTTCCCTGTGTCCATCCCTCCATGCACTCCTATCCCTTGAGCTGTCTCCCTGTGCATAAACAGCCCTTCTCTCTCCCATGATTGTTCTCTCCAAGGAGTGTATTTACCTCAGGTAAATGTTCTACTCCTATGCCTGTCTTTTGCTTGGCTGGAAGCCACAGGTGTGGATTCAGTTCTAACCTGAAGGGCAGCTAGGGGCCATAGTCTCAGTGGATGCTAGGGCAGATTTAAGTTGTAAACATACTACGTATTTGTAATGTTTGATGGGGCACCAAAAATCCTTTGTGAAGAATGCTGTCTCCTTTATTACTTATTTTATTTTAATGCATTTTATTGAAATATAATTTATGTACAGTGAAACACACAAAACTAAAGTGACATGGGTCAGTGCTTTTTTTTTT